TATATAAACCGACTGTGAAGATAAAAATATCGCAGATCTGAAAATATCGAAGCTAAATCGAAAGTGAGAGTGAAGAGACACTTCGCTTTCCATAAAAGCGAAAATCTAGAGCGGGAAAAAAGCCCGAATATAGTGTTGATTCCACCTGGCTTTGAAGTAAGAAAAAAGAGATATATGAGATTTCGCAAAAGTGCACTTATCGCCGGAAATGAACCACAGCGCAAATATGTCAAACAACGGCGCGTCAATATTTTCTTCCGATAATGAAACGCTTTCTGATATAGCAAGACAGTTAACACTTGTATCAAGTGACGCGAATTATGACGATCGTAGACGAGAAAGTTCATAAAGATGTGAAAGTGATGTGAAAGATGTGACCGGTCGGCATAGGTAGGAAAAGGACTTCGTCCTTCCGAGGTGATTTCGCCGTCTTTGCTCTTGAACTTGATACGAAATGGGCTAACGGCGATCAATACGAGCTTTCGGCGCTTGCGAGGCGAAGCTCCGTCTGGCACCGGCGGTGGTAACTTCACCGTGAAAACTCGCAATAAAATCTACTACAGACTTGGCAAAATATTTACCTTGATATGATTTCTTTTTTTCAATCGCATCTATGTTCAGCATAATTGTGTCAAATACATATGTAAAAAAATATTAGTTTTCCTTTTTTTTTTTTATTTTTTTGCGGCAATTAAAAATCCATTTGTAAAAGCAAGCTAAATTTTTCAGTAAAAAATAAGTACAAAAAAGATAATTAAGTAAACAATATTATATGCGTGAAAATTAGTAAACTTGATAAATGTAGGTAAAATTTAAAATTAATAAATAGCTTTAAATCTTTTTGATAGAAAAATGCAAAGAGAATTTTAGATTTCTCACACATCGCAATTATATTCCGTAGAAAATCGCATTGACGAGGCTAAAGATGCGCATTAAAATCGCATACTCGTTAAGCTGACGCGAATAGCAAATTCACAGTGCGCGAACGGCGCGGCTAACTGTTTCGCAAGATAAAAAATATTGGTGTGCATACATTTAAGAAAAAAGCCCCGTCTTCGTGCGTTGCGAATCCGCTTCCGCGATAAGTGAACACGCTGGCGGCAACGACAACGCGCGGTTTCGCATTGCGCCATTTACGGCAACCGCCCGTCGAGGGAACGAAACATACACGCGTGGTATTGTGTGGTGGAGCTGCACAGTTTACCTCGGCTATCGATTAGATTCAGCCTTGTTAAACGCGCTATCTTATCGCAGGCCGTGGAAGGACGCGGAACGCATCGCCGCTAAGTCAATGTGAATCACGGAAATCACCCGCGGGCGTATGAGCTGAGGTTCCGCAAATGTGTCGTCACGATTCACCAGTTTTATTTCTGAGAGAAATCAGGAAACGGCACGATCCTGAACAGGCCGAGCCCGAGTAACGTAGCAAAAAATGATACAACAAATTGACATAAAAATAAAAGCAAATGATAGTCGCACATAAAAAAATAAAAACTTTATCGATTTTTCTTGGAGTACAAATATAATTAGAGATTTTAGACAACAATATAGAAGAAAAAAATATATATATTTTATCTCATTTATTATTTGAATGAGATTACATTTAATCAATGTTTATTAACCACATGATAAATAAGAGATATAGCACGAAAAATTATTTATCACCGAAACTGATGCAAGCGCTCATGCAGATATCTTGCGAACCAGCTTCTGCTATACAACCGTCATAATGTCGCCCGCGATTATCGCATCTCGAACACGATTAGCCAAATCGGCCGTGGAGTTGTTTATATCAAACGCGGCTAACAAAGTCGTAACGCTCGCGATAAGATAACACGCATGACAAGAGCGAGCCTAATCGATGGCCGGCGTAAAACGCGCTCTTACTCCGCCGGCCCTACTCATTCTCTTCTCTCTCCTTGAATCGCCGCCGCTTCACCGCCGCGAGGAGCGGCATTTAATGCAAAAGCGAACGCTTCGGAGAATGTACCTTCGCGTCGTCCGTGTCTCGCGGCGCAAAGAGAGATTAGATTAATTATCAATAAAGCGGCGAGTTGCCGCTTTGAAAGTGCTTCGGCACTTGACACGAGACGACGTAATCGTCGTGCCGATTCAATCGCGATTCAATACATCCCGCGCTCAGGATCGACTCTAACGAGCAGGATACGTGACATGGTGTAAAAGCATTAACTGCGTGCAATCGAAAATAATTAAATGAAATTCAAATTAAAGTCTAAATAGCTTTAAATTAATTCACAACGGGGACGTTGCAAATGATGAATTATCATTTCCGTGTTTGCTTCCCTGTACTTTATATTTTTAAATTGCATCGAAAAATCCGGAAGAGATTTTATTACGATCCGAAATTTATTTGCTCGCGGCGACAATGGAAAATCTGATCCTGGCGCACTTTGCTGCTTTCGCAGCTAGGACGCGATAAATATTTCCGCTAATTACGGAGCCGACAAAGCGGCTTCAGCCTCGGCTCGCCTCTACTTTATTGGAATCGGGGGAGCAACGCTTTCACGGTATATTACTACTTGAAGCCGACGCGCGGCGTCGCTCAGCCTCCCCGCGGCGCAAAGTGAAATTTATCCGGCGATATCGGCGGCCGATCGCGAAAATCGACGCACAATACGCTCGAACGGCGGCCGTAATGACGCTCCCACGAGATTTACGGCGGTAACACGCACTTGGACGTACTATGCAACCGCTAACGCTCGCAGCACTTACGTTATCTACCAAGGGTGTTAATGATATTACGATACTATCCAAGTATCGATGCTGTCGCTGCGTAATACTTTCCATTTCATACTTTATTCAATATCGCAATGTTGACGTTGATTGCGTAATGTATATTATTATATTTTTTGAAAGCCGCATTTCAATCAGAATTTTATGTAACTTTAGTCCAGTAAGAAGCTATGTTAAAGACCATTCAGATTTTTCCAACTGTGATAATTTATATCGTCCGATTTTCTTGCGCAAAATCCACCCTACAAAAAATCTAAAGTACAAACGCACTTTTCTCGTAAGAAAGGAGAGATTTATCGCGACGAGCAGATTTATCGTAACATTATGTCGAAATTTTCATCCGAAAGATAAAGCGCTCGTAAACCTTCCGCGAGGTTTACGCCACGAGCGTTTGGAGCCTCGACTTCGCGGGAAAGCGTCCCGGAATTCTTGTATGCACCGAGAAGCCGCGTCGCGACGTTATCGCCAGCTGCGGCGCTGTAAGCCTTGGGGAAGGAATTATTCCGCTTCGTGAAATGCCGCGATTTAGCCTCGCTTACACGTATGCCGGTCGCGTGTATCGCCGGCGGTAATCGCCGCCGTTAGACACACTCGCCAGTCGGCTAATCTAACATTTTTAGCCGATACAAGTCGGTCTTTTAATGAAAATTGTTGTATCGCACTACCCCTTTCAATTGTAACATGGAGTGACGTTGTAATACAGATAATTGTGTAAAATTAGTAATTTTAATTAATCAGATAATTTGTCAATCAAACTATGGAATAATAACTGATATAAATACGTGATAAATTTGAATATGAAGTGAATTTAATGTTATATTAATATACATAAATTTATTGTTGAATATTTTTCACATTATTGCAAAAGCTTTACACGCAGTGCAATAATTGAAACACTTGTCAAACGTAAAGACTATAGCCTCCCTAAACTTCCTTTACGGGGGGCCTCTGCCTCCTCTTTAGTTATGCCGTTGCTGTATCGTATCGTGGCGTCTACACCGGAAGTGTGAGGGAAGATATGAAATGTAGACGGGTTCGAGAAATATAGAGAATATTACGTTTGCATCGTCGCGGAGGTGTCAGCCGATGCGTCGCATTCTCCGCCAGCGGCGAGTGCAATTAACGCCACGGCGAAGAATGGCGTTACCGCCGACGCTGAGCCGTCAGCGCGATTCCCGCACACGACGGGGCATTTAACGCGTCATGCTCGCGCGATCGTTACTCGTTAATTTATAATAATTGGCCGATAATAAAATTCCGGATAGGTCGCGCGCATACCGCGCCGCCGATGGGAGCGGTCGGTGACACAGCTCTTTCTCTGCGTCTTTCCAAAGACGCGCACATTTGCGTGAGAAAAAAGAACAACAAAAAATAAGCCGCGCGTATCACTTGAGTGATTTAAAAAATTAACACACTCATCCAAGAGAATTGAAAAATTTGGCTTGATTATTATTTTCGAGCCTTGATGCGGTACACAACACGTTGTATATTGTGTCAAAATCTAATAAGCATCGTTAAAAGTAAATAATTAATAACCATAATTAATCAATATTAAAATTATAAAATGATTACAATCTTGAGATATGAAATTGAGTACGCAAATGCAAATGTGATTACCACGCGACTCCGTTAAGCTGACTATTACAGAAAACCTCCTCGATTATCCTTCGCGATATTGCCACTGCGAAGTGTGTCGGTTTTGCGATACGCGATACCGAATGAGTAAAACTATCGACACTCCATTAAATTTAAGCACCGCAACGTCCGTTCTCTTATTCCTGATCGCGCGATATTCACGGCTCGGCGTCGGCGAGCTGAGACCGCCATAAATACGTCCGGATGCACCGAAGGGTGGCGAGTTATTTTCATAGCCGCGGCACGTTACGGTCGCCGTTGGCGATGATACGCGACGAAACGCGCGATTGGAATACATTCGAAGCCGTCGGGATTTAATCGGCGAGCCATCAGAATCGGCGCCGCGAATCGCCGAGAAACTTCTAGGCTGCCGAGGAGATTCCGAGAAGCGTCGCAGGACGCAAGACAGCGATCGTTATTCGGAATTCCGACGACGACGAGAGGAGTAAATCGAGCTCAGAAAATTTTAAAGACGATTCCTGAAGCTCGTCTGGAGCTTAAATTAAAAACAGGATGTCTTTCCACGCATCGTAATTTTTTGCATCATAAGTATACCGCCTACTTCGCGCGCGAACAACTATCCCAAGTGTCCGGATCATATTTTCACTTACCAACTCGTGGAGAGTCTTGAGATCGTTCGTGACGATCTGCGGCTGCGGCCCGTATATGAGGCAGGGCTGCTCCTCCTCGTACTCGTCGTCGCTCTCCTCGTTGCCGGCGCCGTTCACCGCCTTATTCTCGGCGGCGATCTCGCGGTCGATTTGCCTCTCCATTTGCACGAGCAACGGCGCGAGCATGCCGAACTTGGCGCCGCGACGTGCCACCTCCAGCAGGCACAATATCACGTGTCGTTCGTTCTTACGCATTATCAGGTCCTCGGTCTCGAAGAGCAGGCACTCGATGATGCCGAGGCTGTTGCGGCACCAGTCGATGAAGTTCGAAACGTTGTCGCGGGCGAAGAAGGTGCCGGCCTTCGCGTTCGGCAGGTAGGGCACGTCGCCTACCTGGCTCATCGGCAACGCCAAGGAAGTTATCGAGCGTGTCATCGGCATTTTGCGGGCCTGACGACGGGCCACGTAGTCTGCCGCATATTTCCGCACGTTGTTGGCATGCTAGAAGCAAAAAAAAAATCGTTTTCATCAGTCAATGATTATCCGATGGAAATAAATACGATGATTCAACATAGAGAGGCTGGAATTCAATAAAAAATCATGTTTTTCCTAATTTTGTAATGGAACATAATGTTAATATTTTTGAGCTCTTGAATTTTTCAAAATAAAGACGTGAAAATCTATTTCGCATCACTGTCCCTTTGTCCAATAATGAATAATTTACGACGCCTTAAATTACAAGTTACAACAGCCGCGATTTAAATGTATGCCACGCAAGCACGTCGATGTTTCACGACGCCTTTAACAAACGTCGATATTTTATTTCTGACGCCTAGAATGTATACGCGTGTGTATACGCCGCGCGATATTTCATTCCGCACTATTCAACACTTTCCCACACATCTCCGTCTTCGCTTACATCGCGCGCACACTCGTACGTTATTCAGCACTCGACGCGACATCAAAATCCTGGATTTACCGCGAGCATTGAAGCGGCAGATGGCATCTGATGATCATCCCTCCTCCTCCTAATCCCGAAAAAGGTCTTAATGCAATATCACGCTATTGATTCAGATGAGTGCGCCACTGGAAAGTGATTCGAGTTGCGCGCACCCTTGTATGTCAAACATCAACGGGGAATACTTGAGCGGCTTAAAAACGCTGACAGACGAAAAAGAATACAGTCTCAATCGCAGTCCAAATATCGCGATGCAGACAAAAACGAGAGCGGCGTAAAATTTTCAAATATTTTTAATTCCTACAAAATTTCATTACATTGTATTTTGAGAAAAATATTACGAATTTTTTATTATTTTTTTTCAAATAATACAGCGAGAGTAAAATGATATCAATATAAAAAATGAGTGCGATTCTAAATGGATCGCTCGCAATCTTGTTTGCTGGAGGATATCTGCTTCCTCCAATTTCACGATCATCATTCATCAAGACACATCGCACCGATGATAGCATCATTTCATCCCTTTAATCCCCTTCCGTTTGCTCAGTGCTCGTTTTCCGCCAAACATCTGCTCGAACGACTACGCTAGCTAACCGGGTGCTCGTTTTAATGACAGTTCGTTGAACCTCCATTCTAGTCAAACAGAGCTGACATGGGATACTCGTCAGGAGGTATTTGGGTTACATCGAAAAGAGACCACGCGGTATCCGGAATACACAGCCGACCGCCGAGAAAGCCGCTGATGTTTAAACAAAATCGTATTTCGTCTGCGCAAACATCACGCCGAGCCGAGCGTGCGTTCACTCGCGTGCGGCGCATCGAATGTCGATGTCACGTTCAGTTAGGGTCTCTCGTTATTGACGACTTTTATTCTTTGCAGTCGAAGATTCAGAAAATTAGACAATAATTGTAAAAAAAATTTAGAAATCTGCTTCCGATTATTAGGCCGATTTCAACGCCTTGTATCTCGCAGAGCAATATTTATAGACACTTTTTATAAATTCTAAATTCTAAATTTTACTTTCTACAATATTTCTTAATATCTCTATTTTCTTAGAGATATTTGGGAAGAAAATCGAAATATTCGAAAGCCGAAATTTTTACTCCATCTAACTCCATCGATTCGCTCTTTTACTCCAAATTACTCCATTAATTGCTCCATAAAAATTTACTGCAGCATTAAGTGGTGATTATCGTATCTTTTACGTATCCTTATTGCGGGATCGGAATCGAGTCTTCTACGAAAGGCCTTCGGTCTGGTAAAAACTCACATGTCCCGACGCGTTTTACGAGTTCTGACAAAATGTATATTTCGTCTGCACGTGGAGACCATAAGGCCGCGGAGTCGTTTGCGCGCGGCGCACACATCCGTAAAAATCATATCTAACGGCATCCGGCTGTATTCCGTCGGGTTGCCTCGATATTTCCCAAGGGATAATACAGAGATTAGATGTGTCTGCCACTAGACTGTTACAACCGAACGTGAGTGACGATAATGACGATTCAACGGCCGGAGCGTTTTGTCGAGGACGCTTGAAGCTGATGCTTCAAGGGAGCATTATCCATCGGTCTGAAAGATATACGATTAAATTCGTGAACAGAAGCGGTACAATTTTTCCCCCTTTTGATCTAAACTACTAAAAGGCTAAAATAAACTATTTTTAAAATTTTTATGATAAAAAGTATATTATTTTAGGAAAAAGCACGAGTTGTCTCTATATTATGTTACAATCATTATGCAGGCCCAAAGTTAACAAAGAAAATAGTTACACAAATCAACTATAATAAATATTAAATAGCAACTTTCTCTCAGAAAATGTAATAATTCGATTTACTTTTTCCGCGTGCGCAAAATAACTGTCATCGATATACAATCGCGGATACTCCTCGAAAATTAGCAACACTTTCGCAAATTGAAGAGCTTATTAATCAGATCTCAAAGCTGTCCTTGTTTTTGAAATATTGAGCACCACTGCGCGCGGAGAGGAAGAGTCGCGCTTATAAAAGACGAGAGAAGTGGCGCATATGGTAATACGGTCGGCAGATGAAGCGACGGCAGGATGTCACATTACTGTGGCCCCTGACCCCCCGCTCCCCCCTCCCCTTCCCATTCTCGTTGTATCGCCGTCGTCATTCGCCTACTGCCATCGGGCAAATGTGCCTAATGAAAATGGTCGCTGCACATTCTACGTTTGTAAATTGGAGCGGTTGCCGAGGCGTTTCATTGCGCCCGAGGGGGAACGCGTACGAGTTAAGCGTAAGCGCTGCGCGCGCGATGTAGCAGAAAACCAATGAGACGTAACCAACGAGAGCGCAAGTAACCATTACTCATAACCCCGTAACTTAATTTAGTTTTCTGGGGGCCCAGGGCTTACGCGATAAACCGTTGCGGAAATTTATGGCCACGCACGGCGCTGGCCCGCTGCAAAATGAAGCGGCGGGCGTGTTATTGAAAGCGCGAACACGCACGGCGGGATTTCAATATAATTAAGATCATTAAATCTGTCGACTTAAACACATCGCCGTTGCGATAACGTGGCTATTGACCGTTACGTGAATAATTGCTATGGAATTGTAAACGTCAACGATTGCAAATCGGTTGTGACACCGCGAATAATTGCCATCCCCGAGATTATAAGCGCCAGCTCTGCGTTTAATTAAAAATAAATTATAATAAAACGCCTCTCAAATATTAATAAGAGCGCAAAAAAAAAAAAAGAATTCTTATAATCGTTCGCAATTAGAAATGCTTAGCGCAAAGTCTGATGATTATAGGCTAACGATTTTATGAATTCATTTCTCCGTCGCGATATACCGAAAATAAGAGTTCGCTCTTAACGAACGCGCTCTGTCGAAAGGATTATGCGTTGTACGCAACTGGAACGTGTACATTTTACGAAACACGCAATTTAGATTCCCGCGTTCGTAGTAAAGTTAATTACGTTCTAACGCGCCGGCCTTACAACTGTAGCGTAATTCTTTGCGCGGCAGAAGCGCGAGGAGATTCCTCACGAGAATTGTTCGCGGTCCTGTCGTTCCTGCATGTCGGAGGTTAATAAACCTCGAGCGTTTACACTCCCAACGGCGAGACCTCGCCCGGCACAAAAGCGACGTGAATCATCGCGTGTTCACGTTATAAGATATACCTTCTAAAGCGTCGCACGCGCGAACACGTATGTAAAATCGTGCGAACGTGCCTCCAGAGCCTTTATAACGTCGACGACATGTCACAAAGTACTTCCCAGGAAGTGATTCGCATGTGCGCAAAAGTGACGGATGACGTTACACGTCTCGCAATGAATAAATTTATTGGCAAAAATAATTTCAATAAGAAAGAAGACAAATATTTTAACGATAAATCATTTTTCTAAAAACAATTTTGCTTGAGTAATTTGTAAACGTTATTGACATGATGAATTCCCGGCAATCTATCAACGGAAGCTTATCGGCATGCAGTATAAGATAATGAATATCTCTCTTTTCCTTTTAATCACTCTGAATTGCTTAACAGCTTAATAGGCACCTAATATCGAGTCACTAATGACCGATAGCGAGGGAGAAATATCTATTACTGTTATCTCTATAAATTATCACTCATTTATTTAACGGTCGTTCCGAAGATTCTAAATGAGTCAATTTCATGAGCAAGATTATTTCGTATGTTTTTCTCTAGAATAATTACACGTTGCCCAATTTAATTATTACACAATATTTCACGATTTCGACAAATTATCGTGCAATTACAATATTATTTATACAAGATATCCCACCACAGCATTATTTGCATTAATTTAATTATTATTAGCTTGTAACGTTAATAACAGCTTGTGGAAAAGAAAGATGTCATCTAAAAGGCAAGTTGGATGAAGAGGTGCAATGAACCTTTCGAGACGCGGCGGCGGGTTACATCAATGGACGTCGACATTGGCATTAAAATGCGACGGGACTATAAAGGCGATCCTCGAAGGTCCTAGACCGCCCGTCGCGCCTTGCGGTCGCCGGCGTCGCGGCGTCCGCTCGATTTTTCTCCGTCTATTTCCGTCCGTTGTTTTTACGACGCACCCCTTGCATCGGGTTTCGGGAACGTGCCGGGATTGCAGTGTATATTTAGGCACTGAAAAGGGCCACCCCCGTAGACTCATCTCCGCTTCCGATTATGAAAAAAAGCATCGGGCCGCTGTGCATTCTCTGGTCCATAGACAAAAGAATTCGTCGGCGCATCTCCTATAGTTCTCCGCAATCGTTCGCGCGCGAATGGCATCATTGTGGAGCACCGGTGGAGCCCATCTCTTGCAATATTTTCGGGAAAATTAAAAGATCCTTTGTGTCTCGAAGCTTGAGAAATATAAAATATTACATTTTAATTACTCTAAAATACTTATATTGAGTTTACAAAATTTTTGATTTAGCAATTATATATATATTGCTTATATTTGAAATTGTTATTTACTGCATTGCGTACATTTCGATTTTTTAATTCGATATCTATGAATAATAATTTCGAGATCAAGGCACACCAGACGGTAAGCTAATATAAATTTGT